TCGGCCCCCGCCTCCCCCCACCTGCTCCCCTCGGACCTGCCACCTCGAAGTCGGCCTATCCAGCCAGCATCCAGCACTCCCGCCTGCCCACCCGTCTCCCCCCCCGCCACTAAAACAGGGCTAGGATCGGGGTAAATCGCTCCAGAGCGCTCCGGAGCGCTCTCAGAGCGTTCCGGAACGCTCTGGAGCGGCCGCGGCGCCCAATACATCCTCCAAACCCGCCGATTCTCAGAGATTTCGAGATATCCCGATCCGATGTTGTCCGATATTCGCGTCGTTTTATCAAGCACTCCCGCCTGCCCACGCCTCTCCTCCGCCTCTCCTCCGTCTCCCCCCCGCCACGCCCCCCGCCTCCCCCCGCCTCCTCCCGCCTTCCCACGCCGCCCCCCGCGTCCCCGCCGCCGTCGTCACCATCCCCCATTCAGGGTCGGCGGCGCTGGCCGCAAGGCCTCCTCAGTGAGAGAAAAAATGGCCAGTCATCGGGAGCCCCGTGGCAATTTCATATCCACGGATGGCCTCAGGGACCCCCCCAGATGCTCTGGGCACCGTAGGGCCATCAAAGATCGACGAAGAACATGCCCCAATATCTATCATTGCCAAACGTCAGCGGTATGCTTTAACTGTTTGCCCCCCTAGAAGCCTACCACAAACTCACGCCCCAGGAAGCAACAGCGTCCACAGCCATTCTCCTTGGGGCCGCTCCTCGAAAACTATCGCCTGGAATCCAGCGTGGCGTTGAACTGCCACAGGAACCACTGAATGCCAATGAGGATGGCACGCCCGAAGCGGGCACGGGGAAACATGGGCAAGATACCCAGGATCAGATGTTGTCGAAAAGCAGCAGCTAACCCGAGGAAGCATTTAACCCCCCCCCCCTGGGATACCTTAGCACCGCAATGCTATTCGATATTCAACGGGGGCATGTTCGCGGAACAGTAGCTTTAGCACCGCGCAGTTTTAAACAATGATTCATTCCCGCCCCCGGGCTCGGGTAGAATTCCCATTGGAACCTGGAGGCGTCCGACTTGAATTCGCTTGGATATGAACACTCATAATCATACTATGCGACAGTCGTGATAAGAACACAATGAGTAAGTACGCGAATCGGAACAAATCTAAGCACCAAAACGCGAGTACGAGTAATAAGAATACGAACAATCACACACATACAAACGGGAATAAAAATAATAATGCTTAGACAATTACCGTACGCATTGAACCTATCAATTCTATATTGTAGCCCCATATACAAAGGTTTAGATGTCCCAGCCGTCGTACAGGGAGGTCCATCCGAGAATATCGCCCCCACCCCGCACGGAGCGAGATCTCAGCATCGCACGCGCACCGAAAAACAAAAATCCCAGCCCCCCTCACCTCCGATAGTACTACACAAGAACAATATGAATGATCATCAGAAAATACAACAGGTAATAATAAGAGAGCGAGTGAGACTCTTTAGGGATCTGGAATCAGATTGCATTCGAATGCTAGTGGAGTCCTAATGGGAGCCGCTTGAGATCCAATTGAAATCCTGTTGTGTTGGAATCCTATTGAAATAGTGTTGGATTCCTGTTGGGATCCTACTGGGATCCGACGATATTAGATACCTATTACTCGGAGTCCTTTTGGCGTCCTCTTGTATTGGAATCCTATTGTAATCCCACTGGGCCCCTATTGAAAGCCTGCTATACTACTATTATCACGGTACCATATTGGAATCAGATTGGCATCCTATTGGGATCACATACAATCTATCATATCCTTGGCAAGCTGCCGTATGCCTTGAACCTATCCATGTTGTATTGTCGCCCCCATGCAAAAGTGCAGATGTCCTGGCCGTCGTGCAGGGAGGTCCATCCGAGGATATCGCCCCCACCCCGCACGGAGCGATATCTGGGCACCGCGCGCACAGAAACCAATAATAACAACGCCCCCCCCACCCCCTCGAATCATACGACGAAAAAAAATAGCAGTGGGAATCATAATCCCAAAAGACAACGGAAAACAATAATGCGAATAAGTACCTAATTGGCGCACTACTGGATCGGATTGTATTGGGACGCTATTGTGGCCCTATCGAAACGAAGTGGGTCCCATTGGGATATTGTTGGATTGGAATCCTATTGGGATGTTATTTCGTTCGTACTGGGATCCTACGTATTCGGATCCTATTGTATTGGAATCCTACTGGCATTCTATATTGGGACCCTTTTGGAACCCCATTGTGTATTGCAATTCGATTGGAATCTCATTGGGATCCCATTGAGATATTGTGTTGGGATTTTGAAATCATATTGACTTGGAACACTACTGGAATATCATTCGGATCCAGTCGGAATCCTATTGCATAGACGCATCGTGGGATCGCATTTAAATCTTACTGAAATCATGCTGTATTGGAGTCCAAGTGGAATCCTATAGGAATCCTGCTGTGAGGGATTCCTATTGGAATCCTACTGTATTGGTTGGAATCCGGAAGGGATCCGACTCGAACCCTACAGGAAAACTGCAGAAGTCGTCTTGGGATCCTATTGTATTGTATTGGAGTCCTCTTGGGATCCTATTGGGATCCTGGTGGAATCACGTTGGAATCACATTGGGCTCCGATTGAAAACCGATTGGAATACTGTTGGAGACCTATTGAAATCCTATTCGACTGTATTGTATTGGAATCCTAGTTGGACCCAGTTAGAACCCTATTGGAACCTCATTGGAATTAGTCCTAGTGGAATCATGTGAATAGGATTCCAATACAGCGGGAATTCCATCAGGAATCCAAGCGGATACCAATCGTATTCCAATGCAATATGACTCCAATCGGATTCCAGCAGGATTCGAATACAATCGGATATCCAACAGGATTCCACGACACCGACGCCGACGCCGAAGATGACTACGACGACGGCGGCGGCGGCGGCGTTTGTGGCGGCGACGACGACGACGAATGGGGTCCTATTGCCATGACATGAGGAGCCGATTTGGACCCCATTGGAGTCCAGGGGGCGCCTCCTGGTGCCGAGGTAACGCTTCCAGGGTGCCGGAGGCGTTATCATTTCACCGGAAGGGGGGGGGGGCTCGTAAATGCTTCCTGCGGTTGTCGCCGTCGGGCAAGCGACCCTTTCTCTCAGATGGACGCCGCCCGCGGCGAGGCCGGCAGCAAACCCTGGTCAAAATGGGCAGGCACTGCCGTCGGCCATCGTACACATCATGCTCGCACCAATTTCGCCCCCCCGACGACAGCCCAAGAACGCCAGAAGACTGTCCAACAGGGCCTTAAGGACCCAAGACGCCCCAAGAGAGCCCCCCCCTCTCTCCATCAGAACTCTGAAGAGGTCTAGAGAGCCACCCCCTCTCTCCATCAGAACTCTGAAGAGGTCTCTGAGACCATCCTGGGAGAGCCCCAATACGGCCACTCACGCTGGGCCCCACATGTGCTCCCCCAGACGTCCCGGCAACACTGCGGGAAACCAGACTTCAACCACACCTGAGCGAGAATTTCCACACCCATTCTCGACAACGCGCTGCTGGGGCCTTCTTGCATGAGCGACTACCTGCCAGACCACCCCAACCCAACCCGAAAACCCAGACTTCGAGATGGGGGGGGGTACGGGATCCATCTGCGTTTTTTCAAATGTTCCCCGACCCCCCCCCCGACAGTAAATGGAGGGCAAATTGAGGCCTTCGGGTTGGGTTGGGGTGGCCTGGCGGGTGGTGACCTAAGGGCAGGCGCCTCTGCCAGGGGGGCGGGGGGGGCCGCCACGCAGCTCCCCCGCCGCAACGCAGGTGCTGGCCGCGCGCCGGGGAAGAGGAGGAGGAGGAGTAGGAGTAGGAGTCAAGCTAGCCAGCTCGAGCGAGTCAAGCATGGCATGCCCAGTCCCACCCGCCCTCCCACAACATAAGAAGCAAAGCTGGCACAACTGGGGGCCGAAGTCACACCGGCCAGCCGGTTTGGTACAGCTGATGCGGCCGCGATGGCGGTTGCCGACGGGAACTGGCGAGCGCGTGTTGAATGCCGCGCACGCATTGCCAGACGAGTCGAGAATGGCCCGGTACACCGCAGGAAGCCAGAGGTGGCCGGAGGAAGCCCGACGGTCTGACAGGACACCCCAAAGCATTTTTGTGAACAAGCATTGGGTTTTTGATGTTTTTATGTTGAAATGCTTGCAGAAACACGGTATTCGGTAGGATTCTGACATGAACGCGCGAGTGTGCTCTTTGTAGTATTTTTTGCACAGGATTCGCGGCCTGGGTGCATGACAGAGCATCGCGAGTGCACCGCGCGATGACGTGAAATCGCTGGATTTGACCGATTTGTTTCTGATTCCTATGGTTTTCCTATGATTTCAGCAAGAGAGCCCGGGCGGGAAATTTGTACATTTTTTTTGTGAAAAAAGCATTGGGTTTTTGATTATTTTTTGTGTTGAAATGCTTGCAAACACACGGTGTTCGGTAGGATTCTGACATGAACGCGCGCGTGTGCTCTTTGTGGTATTTTTTGCAATGGATTATCGCCGTGGACGACAGGACGTCCATGTCGAGAGGAAAAAATAAGAAAAATGTTGATTTTGTATTGTTTTTTACAGGTTAGGATGGGACCACCCGGATGCGCCCGCTATCTGCCGGCCTGAGGGGGGAGTAGGAGTATATTCTAATAAGGAATAAGGATAGGAGGAGGAGGGAGGAGGAGGAGAGGCATGAGGAGGAGGAGGAGGAGGAGGAGGAGGAACAGAGGAGGAAAGGAGGAGGGAGGAGGAGGAGGAGGGGAGGAGGAGGAGGAACAAGGAGGAGGAGGGGAGGGGGAGGAGGAGGAGGAGGAGGAGGAGGGAGGGAGGAGGAGAAGGAGGAGGAAGAGGAGGAGGAGGAGGAGAAGGATGGGGAGGAGGAGGAGGAGGAGGAGGAGGAGGAGGAGGCGGAGCGTCCTCAGAGGAGGAGGAGGAGGAGGAGGAGGAGGAGGAGGAGGAGGAGGGGGTAGGAGGGGGAGGAGGGTGGTGAATAAGGGCGTGAGGGGGTGCTGTGCCGCAGGCGTGCGATGTTCTTGACGAGCGACGGGTCTGTGCGCGGCTGGCAGCCGCCGCGAACGGCCCGCGCAGGTCGCAGAAGGTGCCTTCGGCACACTGACCAAGAGATGACGGGCCTGTCTTCCACCGCCGCCACCACAAGTTGGAGGGGGAGGGGGTCCTCCTCCTACTCCTCCTCCTCCTCCTCCTCCTCCTCCTCCTCCTCCTCCTCCTCTCTCCTCTCCTCCTCCTCCTTCCTCCTCTCCTCCTCCTCCCTCTCCTCCTGCTCCTCCCATCCTCCTCCTCCCACTCCTCCTCCTCCTCCTCTCTCTTCCTCCACCTCCTTGTCCTCCTCCTCCTCCTCCTCCTCCTCCTCATCATCATCATCATCATCATCATCATCATCAACATCATCATCCTCGCCATCCACATCCCTCCTCGCCTTTCAACTTCTTGTGTTCGTGGTGGGAAGCAGGCCCGTCGAGAGCAGGCCCGCGCTCGGCCGCGCCCGCGGTGGGGGGGTTCATTGGCCTGGGGGCCGTGGAAGTCTCCCTCGTTGGCTCTCGGCTGGAGGGGCCGCCTCCCGATGCCTTGAGCAGGGACCGGCCGTCCCAGCATTCCTATATTCCTACCACGAAATGTTCTTAGAACCCAAAAATGTTCGAAGCACAAAACACAATGTTCTTAGAACATAGACCCCATGTGTGAAAACTAGACAATCTCCGCCAGCAATGTTCTCAGAACATTCCGCGGAAACCACAAAAGGTTCTTCGAAAATTGCTTGGTAGGGCTACAGGCGAGCCAGGACGCTTCGCCACTGCTTGAATGCCGGCCTCGAGGCCCTGGCGCGGCCCGCGCCCTCGGCACCACCGCTGGGCTGGGGCGGGGGCGCCGACTCCAAGCGGACGGGGCGCGCGCAGTGCCTGCGCGCATGCAGGCGCGCCGCCGGCTCCCCAAAAAAACGAATGCGCCGCAGGGCGAGCCCAGGCAGGCGGCGTCCTGCTCTTGGCCGTGCGCGCACGGCGGCCCCGGAGCTCAGCCCAGAACCCTCCCCACACATGTGCGGGCCCGAGGCTCCTCCCGAGCCGCTCCTCGACGGCCTAATTAGGGGGCCCGGCGCGGGCCCCTCGGAGGCCGAACGTGGCCCGGGACCTCCCCGCCGTGATGTCCCTGACGCGACGCGACCCTGCCTCCCAGACCCCCGACGTCATGATTTTTTCATGACGCGACCCCTCGAGGTCTCGACCCTTTCCCCGGGACCGGTTTTTCATCCCGAGTCGTTTTTTGACGCTCCCGAGGGCCGGTAAGGGCCCCCGGAGGCCGAAAATAGCGAAAAACCTCCCGTCGTGATTTTTTCATGACCCGAGGGGGTCGGGGCTGGGAGCGAGCGATGGCCGGTGCGGGGCCCGCCTCCGCCAGGAGAGCACGAGGCATATCCGCGCACGAGCACGACGGGCTCTCGGAGGCCTCGGGGCGCGGAGCTCCGCCCCCCGGCGCGCGCCACGCGCGAGGGGCGGGGCTCCGGCACCGGGCCGGGAGGTGCGCGCCCAGACGTCCGGCGTCTACACGACGAGTCCCCCCGGCCTCTCGGCCAGAAGCAGCGACACGGCATTGGACGCTCGAATTATCCGGGGTAACTCGGGTCCGGGGTAACTCGGGTTTGGGTTCCCGGAAAACGAACCCGAGTTAGCCCTGACCCGAGTTACCCCTGATGATTCGGGGCCCTGGACGCCCGAGTTATCCGGGGTAACTCGGGTCCGGGATAACTCGGGTTCGGATTCCCGAAAAACGAACCCGAGTTAGCCCTGACCCGAGTTACCCCTGATGATTCGGGGCTCTGACGGCATATGATTTAACGGGCGAGGAACGGTATGAAAGAAACGTTTTCGCGGTCGGGGGCGCCCGTCCCTGGGCGGCAGGAAAGTTTATACCCCTGCGGTGGCACCGTAGGGGTATAAACTTGCCAGCCGCCCAGGGACAGGCACCCCCGACAGCGAAAACGTTTACTTTATACCGTTCCTCGCCCGTTAAATATGAGCACAACCTTTTGGAGGTCCAGGCGGAGTTCTTGGATCTGAGCTGGACCCCCCTCCCTGGCGGGCAGAGCGCAGGGCGGTGCCGGATGCGCCGCCAGGGGGCTCCAGGGCAGATCCAGGAAATTCGCGCGGTCCGCCAAAAGTTGTTGTTTTTGTATTTGTGTCCCTTCCTCGACGGCCAAATCCTGGAAAGGTCTTTCGCGCCGAGTCGTTTTTGACGGTCCCGAGGCCTGGCAAGGACACCGAAAGGCCGAACCCGATGAAAGGCTTCTGCTTCGATTTTTGCGAACCGGGTGACTGGGAGCAGACCTCCTACTAAAAGCTGTGCTCGTGCAATAGATGTGTCCTCCGAGCTGGGGGCCGATAGCACTACTCCCCAGACCCCTCCCAGGGTGCGTTCTGACCAGGATTTCGAAGCGAATCCAGCGGCGGCGACGAGGGCCCCCGAGGAGGCCCGAAAGGGCGAACACGCGGGAGGGGTAGCGGGGAGCGGTGCCTCGGCCTCCTCCGATCTCCGAGCTGCCCTCGGCGGCGAGCGCCAGCCCGCGGAGCGGCCGCGCGGCTGGGCGCAGCGAGCCCGCGGGTGCTACCTGCGGGCGCCGTACGGCCAGCTGCAGGCCCCGAGCGGAGCGCTCGCCGGAGCGGGCAGCACCTCGTGGGCGAGGAGCAGATCCACACCCGCGGCCCCGCGGGCCAGGCCCCTGCTGCCAGCGCGCGCACAGGGGCGGGAGGAGGGCCTGGGGCAAGGAGCCCTTCGATCAGGGAGCTCCAGGGCTGGAAGCGGGTGGGACAGACATTGAGGCCTGACAGTGGATATCACCGCCGCCCTCATCGGAGAAGGGATCCCCCAGGGCCTGAAGCCTCCCGGGCACGTTCCTTCACGCACGCCCCCACCGCTGGGGGAGGGGGGAAGGCTTCCTGGAAGGAGGCGGGTTCCCCGAGGGCGCCGGCCCCGCCTCTGCAGAGAAGGCCTGCGCCGTCTAAGAAGCAGGGGTGCGTCTAAGAAGCCTTCCCCCCACACCCATAGCCCCCTCTGCGCGTGGCCGACATGGGCCGCGACCCTGCGGATGCCCCGCGCGGAGAGTATCCGTGCGACCGCGTATCCACGGGATCGCACCCCGGAATCCAGACCGCGAGGGCGCGGATACGGACCGAGACATGAGACGTCCTGATGTTCTCGGGACGGCGTCCCTGGAAGTCCCGACCCTCTCCCCGGGACCCGTTGTTGCTCGTCCGGAGTCGTTTTTTGATGGTCCCGAGGCCTGGCGAGGGCCCCCCGGGGCCGAAAGTAGCAAAACATCTCCCCGTCCTGATTTTTTGACGACGCGTTCATGTCTGGGGATCTGTTCGCCGCCCGGGAGCACTCCGAGGCCGCCAGGAAAACTCAAGGCGTTGCGGTTCGGCGTCGCCGGCCGCGACATGGGCAGCGGCAGCAGCTGGTCCACGCCGTGCGCCCCGCCGATCGAGGCCGCGGAGCCGAACGGATTCGGGAACCGGTCCTGCGGTTGCGGACTGCGCGTAGCAAACGAGGCCACGGGCGGCATCTGACACCCCGACGATAGAAGAAGAACATACGACATAACAAACATAAACTTTCTGAACCCCGCGCAGATTTCCTAAAATCGGCGATGGGCACACCTCCCCTGGCGCGCTCCGCGCGCCAAGGACGGCGCCAGAGGCGCCACCAGGGCAAAATGATCCGCGGCCGATTTAAGAACTCCGCGCGGACCTTCGAAAGATAATGTGCATGCTATTGTTTCTTCTTCGAGATGGGGACCGCGACATCGGATGTGCGAAGCCACCAACGGGCTGGGTAGCACCCAGCACGTCCACGCGGACGGCCACCGTGGCGCGGGAGCCCTTGCTGGCCTCTGCGAGCACCAGCGTTCCCTCGAAGCCCTGCGGGTAGAATCGGTTGCTCGGCAACGTCGCCCTGCCCAGCAGCCGGTCGCCCATGGTGCCCTCGCAGGAAGAAGCCAAAGCCATAACAAAATCGGACCAGGACAAATCGGGGATCTCTTGGATCCAACGGCTTTGGAGGATGTACGCCGCGGCCGTCCCAGAGCGCTCCAGGACGCTCGGAGAGCGTTCCCGAACGCCCCAGAAGCATTGATCCTGGCCCCGGTTCCGCCCGGCCTCGTGCTCGTCGTACACGGAGAACGTGAGGGTGTCGCCCGGCATGAACTCCGTGAGGACCTCGGGGTAGTTCCAGACCGGGTCTGCATCCGCTTCCACGTGTGTCTGGAAGCGGGTGCGCGGCTTGCCCTTCACCTCGCACACGCAGCAGGCCTCCGGCGGGGAAGTGCACATGCCGGGGCGCTCCAGACCCTGCGCGCTCAGCATGGTGACTCTCAGGGGGACGCTGCCCGCCGCGCCCCAGTGGATGGGGCTCGCGGCAGCCATAGACCTTGGCGTTGCGTGGGGTGAACCCGCAGGTGCCGGCAGGCTCATGGACACGGGCCCGGTCTGGCCGAGGGCCGTCGAGCTGGCGGGCGCCAACGGATCCGAGATCGAGGGCGGCGGGCTCGCCGTGGGCGGCGCGGCGGGCATGCTGCTGGCTGATGGCGGCCACGCGCCCTGCACCGCCGGGGCCGTGGGCTCGAGCGTGGCGCGCCTGGCGCCGAGGCGTGCGCTCGCAACCGCGTCGGCCTCCCTGGAGAAGTCCAAGGGGCTCCTCGAGGCCACGAGGCTGCCAGAGACGGCGGTCGCCAGCAGGTCCACCTTGACCGTCAACATCGCGTTCGCCTCCGAGCGCCTGCGCTCGTCGGGGTGGGTGAGGACCAACAGGCCGTTGAAGCCCGGGCCGGGCGCGCCAGCCGCGGGATCGAACAGCTTGCCGTGCAGCACGCCCCTCCCCAGGTGGTCCTCGTCCTGCGAGCTGCCTCTGTCGTAGACAGTGAAGGTGATCGAGTCTCCTGGGCGGTAGTCCCCGAGGAGGTGCTCAAAGTTCCAGACTGGGTTCAGACTATGTTGGAGGGCGGGCGTCGTGAACCTCGTGTGGGGCTTGCCACTGATCTCGCCCCGCACGTAAGGGTCGCAGGTGCCAGCGATCCCGCGTGCCTTATGCAGCCCATTGGCGCTCACGATTGTAATCTTCACATGATGGGGCGGCATCTTGGGCGTTGCCACCGGAGGCGTAGTGATGATCGGGGGGGTAGCGGTGCCTGATGCTGCCACCACTGCTTGGACGGGCGGCGCATACGTGGGACGGCCATGCATGGGGGCTGGGGCTGCGTACGTTGTCGTCGTGCTGCCGTGCTCGCCACGGGAGGCTGCCGTGCTAGCCACGGGCTCCGCCACTGCCTCGACCGGATGCGCAATGATTGGAGGCGATCTCACTGTTGGCGTGACCAGGACCGGAGGTGTGACCGCCGTGACGGTGGAAGACACGACCGACGCGCCAACCTGGGGCGGGTCCGCTGCGAACGGAGACGCGGGCCTGACCTCGCCCTGCAGCTGCGCCATCGGCATGGCCGCCTGGAACGGGGACCCGGGCCTGACCTCGCCGAGCTGCGGCGCCAGCGGCATGGCCGCCTGGAACGGGGACCCGGGCCTGACCTCGCCGAGCTGCGGCACCATCGGCACGGCCGCCTGGAACGGGGACCCGGGCCTGAACTCGCCGAACTGCGGCACCATCGGCATGGCCGCCTGGAACGGGGACCCGGGCCTCATGAGATTGGCCGCGCCGACCATGCCGGGACCCACGAAGCCCGGCCTGAAGGAGGGCACGAAGCACTCCACCTTCACGCAGAGTGTCGCTCTGGACGCGTCAACGTCGTCCACAAGGGTCAGCATGCCCTCGAAAGCGAGGGAGTGTAGCTGGGGCGCTCTCAGCAACGCCGAGCCAAGAATGGTGTCGACATTCCGCGCTCCCTCTTCGTACACCCGGAAGAGGAGGGCGTCGCCCAGGCAGTAGTCCATGAGCACAGACTCGAAATTCCAGACCGGGTCGCGATCGTCCTCGTAGACCTGGGTCTGGAACCTCGTGTGGGGCCTGCCGTACACCTCGCAAGTGCAGAAGGTATCCAGCTCGCCGAGGGGGCTGCTCTTGCGGAGCCCCTGGGCACTCACGATGGTGACCTTGAGCGGCGCCGGCGCCGTGATGCGCCCCCGCCCAGGCGAGCGCAGGCCCAGCGGCGAGAGCCGGGTGCCCCGCGGCGAGAAGCGCCCCGGGGAGAGGCGACCTCCAAAGAGCGGGCTCGCCATCATGGGCCCCGCCGCGGCAAGGGGCACTCCGAACGGAGGGAGGCCCGCTGCTGGGTAGCCGGGGCAGCAAGTACCACCGCAGAAGCCGCCGGGGTAACCGCCAGGGCAGCCGCCGGGGAAGGCGCCGGGGAAGGCGCCGGGGAAGCCAGTGGTACAGTAGCCGCCTGTGGGAGGGCAGCAAGGTACCAACACCGCTACTCCCCGGACCTCTCCTGGATGCGTTCCGACAAGAATTTCGAAGCAAATCCGTCCGTGGCGACGAGAGCCTCCCAGGAGGCCCAAAAAGATGAAAACGTCACAAATGTAGCGATATCGGTGCATCTTCCTCCTCTGAGCCTGGGCAGCCGCCAGGACACCCGCCAATGGCGCCGAGGGGTCCCCCCATGCCCTGTGGCCATCCAGGCATCTGCTGCGGCATCATGCCCAGCGCGTTGCCAGGCAACACCACCAATTGCAGCGAGGAGATGTGGTTGTGGTCGTTGTCTTTGAGCTGAATGTCGCCCTGAAAGCCATGGCAGAACTGATGGAAGGGAAGCGTGCCGCGGCCGACGAAATCGTCGTCTTTCAAATTATCCTTGTCAAAGCAAGTGAAGATCAACGTGTCGCCGGGAACTACACTAATGGTGTGCTCGGAGTTCCACAACGGGTCGGTTGTGTTCTTCTCAGTAGGAGTCTGCACCTTTCGGGGGTTGCTGAAGGCGCCCCTGTCCCAAGGTGCCCCCAGCTAGTCGCTCACTCCTGGAGCCCCTGGGGCCGTGCCCCAGGGGCCTCCTTGGAAATCCCGGGGACACCTTGGGCCAGGGGCACTTCTAGCATTATGTCGGGCCTGTCCCCCTACAGGGGGATTCTCGACGAAAAATAAAAAAATACCTCAAAAATACCCCCAAATGGTCAAAAGATACTCAAAAAAAAAATCCCCAGACTATTTTTGGGCTATCTTTTTGTTATTTTTGGCGTATTTTTTCTAAATTTTCGTCGAACATCCCCCTCTGTAGGAAGACAGGCCCGACTCAATTCTAGCAACACCCGAACCTTCGTGTGCGGCTTGCCTTCCACGGTGCAGACGCAGTACGGGTCCGAGGTGTGCCCGGGAACCCAGCCGCCCCTCCGGAGCCCGCGCGCGCCCACGATGCGGAGGAGCATCGGCACGCCGCCGACCTGCGCACCGAGACTCCCCAGCTGCTCGGCAGGAGCTCCCGGCTCCACGCGGGGCTCGACCTGCAGGGGAGACGCCGCCTGCAGCATGTTGATCCCAACTTTCCCCTCCCTCAGCTCCTTCTCCACGGTCGTCGCTGCCACGACTTTCACCGCAAGCACAAGGTCATCGGAGTCCTTATTCTCCGACAGGCTCAGTATCCCCTGGAAGCCGGTGTGGTAGAACCTGGAGCAGTCCAGGGTGGCCTTCCCAAGAGTGCGGCACAATGTGTGATCGTCCTTGACGGTAAACTCGAGGTCGCAACCCTCGTGGTACTCAATGAGCGTCTGGGTGAAGTTCCAGACTGGGTGCGAGGTGCTGCTGACCGTGTGGGTGTGAAAGTGGTCGTTCTTGATGTGCTTGGCCTCCTTTGCAGGGAGACGAACAATGACATAACAACATAACAACTCGGAGGTCCGCGCGGATGTCTCGCACCGGCGCTGGACCCCCCCTCCCTGGTGCGCGCGCGGAGCGCGCCAGGGGCGGCACCGGAGGCGCCGCCAAGGGGGTTCCGGCGCCAATCGGAGAAATCCGCGCAGACCTCTTGAGTTGCTATGCTTACGTCGTTGTTCGCTTCCCTGTCCTTTGACGTGCCACCCACTATCTTGCAGACGCAGAAGGGGTTGTGCCCGGTGCTGTGCAGGCCCTTCGCCCAGAAGATGGTGACGTCGAACGGCCTGCAGCAGCCCGTGGACTCATCGCCAGAGGCCCCGGCCGCCGTGGCCAGCTGTACGGGAAACATGCCCGGCTTCAGCACCTGCGAGGTCATCAGTCACTCGTCTCTGTTGCGTGTCGTTCTCGTGCGTGTCTTCCTCCCGCCCTCCCTCTGCATACATTCCTCCCTCTCTCTTTTTTTGTTTCTCTCTCTCTCTCTCTCTCTCCCCCTCTCTTCTCTCTTCTTTATTTCTCTCTCTTTCTTTCTCCCTCGCTCGCTGTCTCTCTCTCTCTCTCTCTCCCTCTCTTACGCTTTATGGTTTGATTTCCCTCTCTCTCCTCTCCATTGTCGAATGCCTTTGAAGTCTCTCTCCTTCTCTCTCTCTCTCTTTCCCGTGCCCCCTCTCACCAAGGCCGTCCGACTCCTGATATCGCAGCTTATTTTACCATAGCAAGGTTCTAGCGCGCCATGGCATGCCGTGGCATACCAAGACCACGCCATTGCTCTGCCGAAACATCGCCACAACATAAAAATGCGTGCCAACATGTTTCGACACATCTTAGCACTACTGTGACGTAGTATGGCCCAGCATTGGATTATGTAGACAACCGAAGCACCGCCTAGCGTGCCTAGCGTCCCATTCCGAGCGACCCCCCTTCATTACCACATCATGGCATGGCATTGTACATGGCATGCTAATCCATGCCGCTATCAAACAGCAGCGTCGACAAACAAGATATAGCGTAGCAGCGCAAACACATTGCAGAAGCGAGCAAATCAAACCGATTACCATGGCACCACATGATCAGAAACGAGTTCAGACCATCGCGCAATATAACAAGCCATAGCAGCACACAGCACAGCATAATGCCGCACCTTTAGCAATAATGTATACGAGTTCAACGAGCCACGAGACCCCAGGAAACCCAAGGACACCGAGGAGCATGGGAAACACAAAGAACCAAGATGCCAGGATAATCAGCGAAACACGCGAGCAGATGTACCAGGGAATTGCCCAACTAAACTTGACTCTTGCAAGGATGATGTGGGAGTCCCATCTGCAAAACGAAACTTTGAAAACACGCCTGGATGACGAGCTCCAAGGATGCCGTGTTATTCCCAGAGTCTTGCAACATCTTGCTGCCGTTGAAGCCGTTCGGGAAGAACTCGTTGCTCTGCAATAGTAGTCTACCCAAGAAATCGTCGGACTTGAAGGTGTCCTCGTCGAAGACCTCGAAGAGCAGTGGCTCGCCTGGGACGTACATTGGAATGGTGTGGTCGAAATTCCACACTGGATTCAGGTTGTTGTCGACAGTGTGTGTTTTGAACTTCGACTCTGGCTTCCCCGGTATCTCCACGACGCAGTATGGGTCGGAGGAGCGGGTGGGAATGAAATCGGCCCGCTTGAGGCCACGAGCGCTCTTCAAGCTGATGTGGACGGGGCACGGGGCGCCGAAGACAGGCGCCATCGCCGCCGCGGGCTGCGCAACGACAGCGGGCCCCGGCGCCGCAGTGGCCGTGGGCGCCGGTGGCACCGGCGTGCCGACGGGGGCGGCCAGCCCGACCCTGACGCTGAGGAGGCCCACGCCGTGCCCGTGGTGGTGGCTGTCCGCCAGCGGCAGGTCCCCCTGGTAGGAAGGCACCAACTATACACCAACACCGATCCTGGCCAGCATCACCCTGGGCCCAGGATCGGTGTATATGCCTTCTTGCCCAGGGCAGGAGGGCGTATACACCGATCCTGGGCCCAGGGTGATCCTGGCCAGGATCGGTGTTGGTGTATAGTTGGTGCCCTCCGACCTGGAAGCCGCGCGGGAACAGCTGGACGCTGTGGAGCATGGCCCAGCCCAGGGGTTCGTGGTCGCTCTTGGCCTGCGGAGGAGGAGCGGCCCCCGGCGCAGAGCGAAAAGCGCTCGGAGCTCCGCGCGGATGCGCCTTGGATCTGCTCTGGCCCCCCGTCCCTGGCCCGCGGAGCGCGCCAGGGGCGGCGCCGGGGGGCCCCGCGACGGTCCCAGAAATCCACGCGGAGCGCCGAAAGTTTCTGACTGCGCAGTTTGATCTTCCTCGAGCCTCGTCAAAGACTGTGAAGGTCAGCGAGTCCTGCCCTGGCGAGAAGTCAGAGATGACGTGCGAAAAGTTCCAGACGGGGTCCGACGTTCCACTGTCGGTCTGCGACTTGACCTTCGTGTGGGGCTTGCCTGTGATCTCGCAGGTGCAGTACGGGTGCTTAGACCCCAACCAGTTGCCCGCCCGCAGGTTCCTCGCGCCGACTATGGTAACCATCAAGTTCATCTTCGGCCCGCCTACCATCAGCATGCCTCCCATCGGCCCGCCTGCCATCGGCATGCCTCCCATCAGCCCGCCTGCCATCGGCATGCCCCCCATCGGCACGCCACCCATCCCCATGCCACCCATGTGCGGCCAAGCTGCTGCTGGCATCCCCTGCGCTATCATGGCACCCGGGACCAAGCTGGCCAGCGTGCCCGGCATGGCGCACATCGGCTCGGGGCCCACCTGCGGCAACATGTCGCCCGACGGGCGTGCGGGGTGGCCCCCCTTGTCGGCGGCCTGAGGCTGTCAGCCCTCTCGAACAATACAGCAGGTTCATGCGATAAGAGATCTTGATGTGCGAGCTCACGCGATGGGATTGAAAGAACTTTCGCTGGGCACCTGCTGGAAACTGGTGGCATGCCACAGGTGCCTGCCACAACCCTCCCAACCGCAACGAGACCAAGCCGCGAATTGCAGACCAACCCGTTGACCTAATCCTGGGCGAGTTTGACACTTAGCTGTCTCGATACGCGCGTTTTGATACGCAACACGTACCGTGCTCAAAACGTCCGTGTCAATACGTTGCGTGTTGACTCAACGTATTGGCCCACATTTTGGCGAACGTATCGCGTCAGACCTACGTTTTCAGGGTCTTTGCTGAGCTCCGTCTCAATGTGCGACGTGTCGCGTGTTGCGTATCGGGGCAGCTAAGGTTTGACATGATGTCTGACAACGTTTCCCTGATATTAGTAGTCTAACGCGAAGACCTTGTTTCGCAGCCGCTTGGTTGGAGCCGAATGCCGAGGTTTCGCCGCGTCGACGCCCTTGGCAGCCACGTGGCTCACACAGCATAGCTTACACACTACAGCTTACGCAACATAGCTTGCACCACATAGCATGGCTTACGCCTCACAGCTCATGGCACAGCTTACGCTGCGTATCTGTCTGCACATGGATTACACCGCAGAAGCTTCACTTCCATATCTCACACCACGTAGCCTACACGCCGTAGGTATCGCCACATAGCTGACACAACGCGTATTCGTATATGGCCCCCTCGCGCTCGGGGGGTATGACGAGGTCGCGCCACGTTGCCGCCCTTGCCGCCTCGTGGGCGCCTTGTGGGCGCCCCCGCGCGGGCATGCTGGATCTTCGCCGCGCTGCCGCCGCCCGTGCCGCCTCGCGGGCGCCTCGTGCGCGCCCCGCGCGTGGGGCGTCGTGTCGAGGCTGCGCCACGTTGCCGCCCGCACCGCCTCGTGGGCACATTGTGGCTGCCACGCGTTTGGGGGGGCATGCCGCCTGTGCCGGCATGGGCGCCTCGCTGGCGCCTCGTGCTCTCAGCCCACACGGCATAGATTCCACCACGTAGCTGGCACCCCACAGGTCTACACAGCACAGCTAGCGCCGCGCACCTTGCACAACATAGCGTGCACCACGTGGCCTGCATCCCAGAGCCGTCAAGACATAGCTTACACCGCACAGCTTGCACACCATAGCGTGCACCACATGGCCTGCATCACATAGCTTGCACCTCCAATTCACACCGGATAGCTTGCACGGTAAAACTTCAACTGTGTTAACCAGCGTGGACTCCAAACAGTGCGCTTCTAACAACATGTGCCGCGCAGTGCACGTGGAGCAACCCATGCGGTGCAACTTGTGGTGCGATCTAGGTTGTGCCATCTAGGTGGTAGAGCATATGTCGTGCGATATACGTTGTGCAATATATTATGTGCGGTACATGTTGGGAAATGTGTCTAAAACAACAGATGTGGTGCAGCCTCTGTGCTGCAATGTACCTGGTGCAAGCTATATGGTGCAAGTTATGTTGTGCGATTTATGTTATGCAACTGATGCTATACAATCTTTGGTGTGCAGTCTATGCTGTGCAACTCATTGTTGCCAACGAATATTCACATCCCATTTTCTTGCAAACATCCCACCCACCCACCCGCCCGCAGCTTGGTCTGCAAAATCTAAGCGGCGGCGATTTCGATGAGTGCTTGGCGTTGGCTGGGTGCATCTCTGCGGCCGCGCTAGCCCCGTGCATGCTCGCGCGCACAACGGCGAGCTAGTTTGGCGCGACCGACGCGGCCGCGGTGGCGCTGACCGCTGGGCACTTCCCAGCGGGCACTTCAGTGCGAGTCGGTGACTTGGGCGGGCGCGGTACCATGGCGATGCCGACAACGGTAGGCACGATTATGAAAGTAGAAATGGTGACGAAAGCGGCGGTGACGACGGCAAGGCCAATGACTGCGCCGATGTTGGTGACGCCCGCTAATAACAATGACGAAGTCCTCGCGTCGGCGATGAAAATGTTTGAAGGAGTTCGACATGCGAATGGCCCGCGTGGTATTAATTGACACGGACCGTGACCCCCCCCAGCACGCGCGCAAGGGCGTTCGAATGACTTCCGCATACGGCGCGAGAGGCCCGTTTGGAAGAAGCCCATGCAGATGTCACAAAACCGATGGTTTTCTTTTGAGTCCGTAAGGGCGCGAGGGCAGGATTCTTTGAAAACTACTGTCGCAAAACCCTGTGTGTTTTAAAGCTTTCGGGGCACAGGTTTTGACATCCTTACGACACCAACTGGTTGCTCAAAGATTTCTACATGCGCGCGCGACGACGCGCGCGTGTGCACCCCGTCCCTCTGTAGCAAAGGATTATTGCGACAGCACGCGCGCAAGGGCGTTCGAACGATGTCGGCACTCGCGCGCGACAGGCCAATTAAGAAACTGTTTATGAACAGGATATTGGACAACGGATGGTTTTCTTGAGAACTCGCAAGAGCAAGGGCGCAAACTATTGTTTTGAACATTCGTGTGGCAAAACCGTTTAAAAACAGCAAAGGAAAACGTGTCCTGATACTCGGATTTGAATGTTTACGACACCTGCAATTTTATGGAAAAAAAGTTCCGTATTGCGCGCGCGACGACGCGCGCGTGCACTCCGTCTCATCTGCTGCAGAGGACTTTTGGTAACCTGTGATATCTGCTAAACGAAAGCACGCGTAATATGCCTGGCAGAAGATGGTGGGGGTGTCTGTACCAGCAGGTTTGGGATGGTATGGGTTCATATGTAGAACGGACAAATGGTCATAATCATATGCGAATTACATATGGCGAGGAAAAACCGCTAGCTCCGGCCGCGGGTGGGGGTATACACAAGTTATGTTCTATAGCAAAGATAACAATATACTTAGCGCAATACACGTGGTGCAATATATATATATATATATATATATATACACATATATATATGTATATATAATTATATATATATATATATATATATATATATATATATATATATATGCGGTGCAATCGATCGGGTGCCATGTATGTAATGCAGCCAACGCGGTGCAAAAAATGCGGTGCATAAAATCATTACATCAGAATTGGCACATTCCGCGTTCTTGCAAACATCCCACCCACCCACCCGCAACTTCGTTTGCAAAACCATGCGGAAACGATTGCGAGGAGTGCTTGACGTTGGCTGGTGCATCTCTGCGGCCGCGCTAGCCCGCGCATGCACGTGCGCGCAGCGGCCAGCTAGTTTGGCGCGACCGGCGCGGCCGCGGTGGCGCTGACCGCTGGTCACATCCCAGCGGGCTCTTCAGTACGAGTCGGCTACTTGGGTGGGCGCGGTATCATGGCAACGTCGACAACGGTAGACACGATGATGATGGCAACGATGCTGTCAACGATGCTGGTAGCGACGACGGCACGGCCACTGCCAACGCTGATGCTGATCACGGCGAAGATGATGACGGCGTCCTCGCGTCGGCGATGAAGGTTTTGGAATGAGTTCGCCATGCGCGCGCGGCCGACGCGCGAGGGTGGCCGCATGGTATTATTCGACACGGATCGTGCCCCTCCAGCACGCGCGCAAAGGCGTTCGAATGATTCGGCATGCGGCACGAGAGGTCCGTTTGGCAGATTGTCTTAACCATATAGGAAAACCGATGGTTTCCTTTAGGGCTCGCCAGAGCGCAAGCGCAGGCTTTTTCGAACACGGATGTTGCGAAACCACATGTTTCTTATATGGTTTCGGTTTATTCGGTGTTGACATCCCTGCGGAACCCAAGGTTTTTGAAGGAGCTTAGCATGCGCGCGTGACGACGCGCGCGGGCACTTCGTCCAATATTTTGCCAAAAGGAGTCTCGCGACATCACGCGCGCAAGGGTATCAAAATGATTTCGACATGTGCGCGTGAAGCCCTCTTGGTCGAATGTTATGAAACTGTGGCACAACCAATGTGGCCTTCTGAAGAATTTGCACGAGCGCGCGAGCAAGTTTTTTGTTATGATTATATCGTTTGCGAAAAAACGTACTGCGGAACATTTGGTTATCTACATGTTCTTGAACGCTCGATTGTGAAACCCTTCCTGAACCGGAAAGGGTTCTGTAGGATTCCGGCCTGCGCACGCGAAAAAGCGCGCGTGTGCACTTCGTCAATTTCTTGTGCAGGATATGCTCGGCAACTGATGCTTTGTTACAAACGCATGTGCGCCAAAAACATTTGCTGCATAGGATGACGGGGGGGGTCGACACCGGCCTGCCTGGGATGGTATGAGTTCAAATTTCAACTGGACGATGGGGCAATATCGTATGCAATTGCACTACGAAAAAATAACATTAAGCCCGGGGGGGGGGGCAGGGGCAGATCCCTATATTTTAGGAAGGAAAGACCACGAATGTTCAACTTGAAATTGTCCAATCCACAGCTCGCGCAATCACCCCGCACACCCACCCGCAACTTGGTTCGCAAAACCCATGCGGAGGCGATTGCGATGAGTGCTTGGCGTTGGCTGGTGCATCTCTTCGGCCGCGCTAGCCCGCGCACGCACGTGTGCGCAGCGGCCAGCTAGTTTGGCGCGACCGACGCGGCCGCGGTGGCGCTGACCGCTGGTCACATCCCAACGGGCACTTCAGCTCGATTCGGCGACTTGGACGGGCGCGGTATCATGGCAACGCCGACAAGGGTAGACGCGATGGTGATAGCAGCGGTGCTGGTGACGACGACGGCACGGCCAGTGACTGCGCCGATGCTGATCACGGCGAAGATGATGACGGCGTCCTCGCGTCGGCGAAGGAGGTTTTGGAAGGAGTTCGCCATGCGCGCGCGGCCGACGCAAGAGAATGGCCCGCATGGCATTATTTGACACGGATCGTGTCGCCCCAGCACTTGTGCAGGGGCTTCCGAATGATTTCGGAATGCGGCGCGAGAAGCCCGCTTGGCAAAGTTCCATGCGCATGCTGGTAAAACCTATGGTTGTCTGAAGGATTCGCAAGAATGCAAGCGCAGGTTGTTTTG